GATCACTTTTACCACTAGGATCCCCCACGAATATCAATGTAGTTAAACTATTGGTTAACTCTTTCAACTTTTATCATGTTATCACTTGAATGGATTGTCAAAAACAGGATTAGAAAAAAAGTATTGTTTAGTCAATGGATGGCTTATTTTCATAATTATCCTGAATTATCAGCATGTTTACTCGAGCGATAACACTTAATCAATAAAAAGGTGATGAAAAATCTGCACCCTATCAAACAAGTATACATGGTTATACATTGTGAAAATACTGTCCCGATTTGTCCCCCGAATGTTATATTATCGAGGTATTAAACTGTTAAACAGTAATATGGATACTACTCGAATTTGCTAAAGATTACCACCATAAACATAGGGTAATACGTCAAATTGTGTGCATCTGTTGAAATAGCCAAAGACAAATTGCGTGAAGACATGTTTAATGAGAAAAAGCCCGTTGTCATGCGCCACACAATGGCAAGAAGCAACATGTGACCAATAATCAGTCGATCACCCGTCAAAATGAGAGCATCTGACCAAAACTGAAAAGTCAAAGTATCACAAAAACAAATACATTGTCAGAAAACAACAACTCAGTAGTGCGTTTGTGATCCAAGTGATGCGATCACAGTATGGCACCATCGTCTCCTCCTCACAATAAGTCTCTGGGTGGTTGCTAAGAGAAGATTGCTCCACTCGTGCCAGGAAGGACAGGGGCGTCGTGAGAGGGCGATCTGCAATTCGTTCCACATGTGTTCGATAGTCTACTGCTCTAAGTAGGCATCAGCGACCCTGGTACGATGAGGTCGTGCGTTATTGTCCATAAAGATGAAGTTCGGTCCGATTGCACCAACATACGGTCTCACGTACACATCCAGAATGTCATCAATGTAACGCACACCTGTCATCGTGCCCCGCTGTAGGACATGGGGATCGGTTCTTCCATCATAATGGATCCCCCCTCCATAGCTGTCGTGTTCGGTTCTGAAATCTTTCTCCTTGTCTTCGCTATACTCGGGCACAACGATCTGTGTAGTCTCGACAGTATGTAGATTCATCAGTGAAAAGTACTGGAACCCAGTCCTTGTCTGTCCAATGGACGTTAACCCCAATCCAAATGCGCCTGCCTGGGATGTCGGGACAGTGGGATGCGAAAGCATGCCCTCCGTGACCGGAGACCAGCCTCACGGAGACAATTACGTGCTGTCTGAGTAGAAACGTCAGGTCATTTCTGAGTGTGGTGGCAATCATGAAGTGATGACGTCTTGCTGCAATCAGAAGAAGCTAGGCTTTCTTCTCTGTGGTGGACAATCTGCATGTCGCTGGGCAGCTGATCCAAACGTCTGGTACCGATTCCATGCCCTGTTGATAACCCTGCTGATCACCGTACTGATGACACCAAAAACGTTTGCAACGTGACGCTGTGTTGACCTAGTTTCAAGCATGCCTATGCATCTGCCCAAATCTTCGGTCGTCAAAGGACGTCTTTGACGCTGCGGTGGCATTAGTGCATCCAGTTGTTAAAATCCCCAGTAGCAAATAACTCTCTGATAATGTTGTGCAGTGATGCCGTCATGATACACCCAAACACAGGTTTTCAAGCACTATACTAAGGTACATACGTCTGTTGTTGCAAGGTTGTCTGATGTGTTAACACAATCACGATTACAACTGATGATGAACTTATGAGTTGACACGAAGACTGTGGCTTCTTCCCATTTTCTGACACAGTCCTTCTTCCCTGTACCGAAAATCTATAATACGCGGAACATGTTTTGGGGCAATGCCAATACACACATTTCAGAATGCAGAAGGCGTTAGGATTTCTATACAAAAAGTTCGCGAGTTAATGAATTCATCTTCGTAAACAAACAGACCAAAAGACCGATATTTGTTGAAATGCTCCTATAGTTTGACTGAAACGTTACAATTTTAGTATATGTACTGCGTTACCTTAACTGAGGAAACAAATCTGATTCAAAGTCTTAAGAAATGACCCAGCACAGTGTGAATGTCTGCTAAAACATGGAGAGGAACATGTAGACAAGCCACAACATTTGGGTTTAACGCCACTTTTAACAATATTACAGTTATATCGCGGCCTTGTCAGCTTAATGTGGGAGGAAAGCACGAAGTGATGCAGGTCTCAGACGTTTACCACTTCGTGAAACCCACGAGCACGGGCATGGTGCTGACAAACCTAGAAACCTAATCGGGGCGAACCGGGATTCGAACCCACAATCATAGGGTTTCCGGCTTACCCAAGATGCTCAATTGTGCACAGAGAATGGCGGCTCCGACCCCAGACTTTAAAATATATGTACTGACATCATCCATAAAATTGCTCCCCGTCCAATTTTGGAAAAAATACAGTCAAACACCGTTTTGTCGAAGGGATCGACGTAAGTCTTTCGAGTTATCCGAGGTTCGACACAACAAAACATGATATACAAAGAAGGATTGCGCCGGGACCAAGCTTTTACTTCGAGACAAGTGTAAGTTCGAAACATCAAAGTTCGACACAACGGTGTTTAAATGTAATTACCACACTATATGTCGGACTACTATAAGAGAAGGCTTATCTTTTGAATGTAAATTTACGAAAGTTCAGAATAACTCTTTATCGATTGCTTGTAGCTCACCTGGTTGTCTGGTTTGTTTACATGGCAGGAGTACTGTTTTGGGGCGCAGGCAACAAAACTAAAACCTTTAGAAGCAAATTGTGTGAGTATTGGGTGCTCTTGATGGGGAAAGACACGCCAACCCTTACACCTGATGTCATCACTGAGTGACTGAAACATATCCCCGCAAAGAAATTGTAAAATTATAAACACAAGTCTGTATATATAATGGTCAAGCTATAACAGCAGGCTCAGTTAAACCAATCTTAGGTTGACATTTGGAACACCATCCTGGAACAGGTTGTTTTCAATCATCTGGTGTCTTGAGTGCGCCACCGCTGCCTCGCCTGTAACAACGCAAATGGTGGTCACACCCGATATTGACATTGTAAATTGAGTTGTTACACCATCCCACTTTCTAGGGCGTGTCGCTTTGTGTCTTGTTACCAGGTTTTGTCAATAAATGCTTTAATAACATTAACATAACATTTACACACAACTTTATGTGCAGTTTTGATTTCTGGTGTTGATATTTTGTTCTTCTAAAAGTAATTTATCAAACATCCATAATATGTGCATACCTGATTATCTCCAACGTGCAAACCTGAATAGATTACATGGCCTATTCTTTAGGGTCCATGGTTGGCGCTTTCATATTTGATTTCCTGCCTGTTTGCGCCAACTCTGCGTTTTTTGTCTTCCTCATATTAAAGCTATAACCACCAAATTTGAGGTTGACTTGGAGATGCATTTTTACCTTATAACAGTATAGGTAAGTTTAAGGTTTATAAAGAAAGAGTGAGTGAGTATGGTTTTACGCCGCAAATTAGCAATATTCCAACAACATATTCCCTCACGGCGGGGGACACCAGAAATGGGCTTCACATATTGTACCCAGTTTATAAAGAAAAAGACCTATTGTATTTAGTGAATCAATATAGATAATACTAATAATCAAAATCGTAAGGGTATATAGATACAGTTTAAGTTAGGAATCAAGTAGAAACACTTATGCTATCAGACTTTCTCGACGTTGTCTGTTACGATATAAACGAACCTATACTGAAACCGTCCCTCACGATCATATACAGCTATGTTTTCAGAGATACACATTTCTTTTCGTCTGTTGAAAGTTTTGCGAGAATACATACTTTAAGAGGCAGTCAAAATTTTATGCACAATTTTAAATTTTAAAACCGGATAAAGGTCAGAGATGAAATATTTACGGAAGCGTAGTAGGGCCACGGTGAATCTTTTTTTGTCTAAGTATCTCCTACGTAGGACTTTTTATCCCCTACGTAGGACTTATTATCTCCTACATTTCCAATCTCCTTCTTTTCCAATCTGGGCATATCGCTGTTCTGTCTCCTACGTAGGACTTACTATGTCATATGTAGGACTTCCTATCTCCTACGTAGGACTTATTATCTCCTACATAGGACTTATTATCTCCAACATAGGACTTATTATCTCCTACGTAGGACTTCCTATCTCCTACGTAGGACTTCCTATCTCCTACGTAAGAGATAGTAATTCTAGGCCATACTAAGTCCTACGTAGGAGATAGTAAGTCCTACATATGACATAGTAAGTCCTACGTAGGAGACAGAACAGCGATATGCCCAGATTGGAAAAGAAGCATTGGCCATAACCTGGGCGACAGAACGCTTCAATGACTTCGTTCTCGGCAAACACTTTCAAGTGGAAACGGATCACAAGCCATTAGTGGCAATCCTGGGATCCAACGACCTATCTCCTAGACTACAGCGGTTTAGGATGCGACTGATGAGATACAGCTACATAGTTTTTCACACCCCTGGGAAGAACTTGACTGTAGCTGACACCCTCTCCAGAGCTCCAGTGGAGGAAATACCACTAAGAACAGAAAATAAACTGGAAGAGGAAACTGAAATGTATGTGGAAATGGTTATCAGTCACTTACCAGCTTCAGATGCAAAACTGCATTAAATCGCAACAGAGCAGCATTCTGAATATTCTAGGATCTTCAGTTTCGTCCAAAATGGATGGCTTGCATATCACTCTCTACAGGGGGAGGAAAAGAGGTTATACAGGTTTCAGAACAACCTGACAGTAGTGAACGGCTTACTTCTCAAGGACAACTGATTGGTCATCCCCAAAACTCTTCGCCCAGAAATGATGGAAAAAATCCACGCAGCTCATCAAGGGATACGAAAGTGCAGGGAACGAGCACAGACATCGTTGTGGTGGCCAGGACTGAGCACTGAGTTAAAGTCGGTCGTTGAGAATTGCAAGGTATGTTCGAAATACAGACCAAACCGGAAAGAGCCTCTGATGCCCACACCCTTACCTGAAAGGCCTTGGCAGAAAGTAGGGACCGATTTGTTCGAACTGAACAAAACCATGTATCTGATTGTGGTCGATTACTTCTCCAGATATGCTGAAATAGCTAAGCTGTCCTCGACAACCTCAACTAGCATCATCAACAATCTGAAGTCGATATTCTCAAGACATGGAATACCGGAAACAGTTATTTCTGACAACGGGCCTCAGTATGCATCAGCAGAATTTCGAGAGTTCGCCAGCAAGTACAACTTCAGTCACGTGACCAGCAGTCCGTTGTACGCAAGAAGCAACGGCGAAGCAGAGCGTGCGGTGCAATCATGTAAAAACATTTTGCGGAAAGCTGAAGACCCTCATCTTGCTATGTTGGTATATAGAACAACCCCTCTCACAGGCAGATTATCTCCAAGTGAACTGTTGATGGGCAGAAAACTGCGAACATGTTTGCCGAAACATCCGATTCAGTTACAGCCGACAAGTGTTAACCACGAGCACTTTCAAGACCTCGACTCAAAACAGAAGTTGGCGACAAAACACAACCATGATCTACGACACAGAGTGAAAACACTCCAACAGTTGAATCCAGGAGACTCTGTCTGGTTGAACAAATCAGAGAGCAAAGTTGTTCGGAAAGCAGATGCCCCCAGATGCTACATCGTGAACACACCAAATGGGGAAGTACGGAGAAACCGATCAGATCTACGCAAGATTCCAACACCGGAAACCTCAAGAGACAAAGTTTGTGACTCTGAGTTCAACCAAAATACGGACTGCAACATCACACCCCAGTGTCTACCAGGAACACCAAACAGACAAACAGACACTAAAACCAGAGTTGGAAGAATTTCCAGACCTCCCCAGAGACTTGATCTCTGATGAGACTTTGTAGTGAAATGTTGAGGTGTTGATCAATCCAGTTTTATTGTTTTAGTTTAGTGTTCAACAATGTGAACGTAACAAGGTTATGTTGAATCATTGACCTTTATTCATTTGCTCTTTAGAAAAGACTCTTTTGTCAAAAGTATTGTATGTGAGAATGAATATTTGACAGATGAAATTGTTAACTTACTAGTTTAGCAATACTCTAATATGTCATTCAGATTCACAAGTTATTTTCTAGTTTGTAACAATAGGCTTACCAAGGACTTTAATAGCTCAGAAAGGAGAACCCGACACAGTAGAACAGGAAGTAAGATAGCAGCGTTGTGTTGTGTGCGCCACTATCAAACTGGGACATCACCTTGTGAGGACGTGCTTCTTGTCCTGATCCACAAACAGACCGTAAAGGTATTTCTCAAATACTTTAACTCACCCAGAGTTGTTCATGATCTATTAGTGTAAATGATTTCATCGTTGAAAGCCATAGAACAGACTTTAAGTGTGTAGTCTGTAGTCAGTATGCTTTACGTAGCTGCTTAACTGCGTTTTCGGAGAGCAACATGGTGCATATATTTATATATCGGTTCCTGGCACACATGAAAGATTAACGTGAGTGTGTTAGTTTGATTTTACGCCGTTTTTAGCAATAGTTCCAGTAATATCACGGTAGGGGACACCAGGAATGGGCTTCACGCATTGTACCCATGTGACGTGACGCGTGACGCTTTAACCACTAAGCTGCCCCACCGCCCTGAACGATGTTACTATCACCGTAGTCTGTATTGCTATATTGTAAATTCACAGCTAGACTTATCGTTTAGTATCTGAAATTATATAATTTTGATAAAACAAACAACTCCATTTCAATTGAAAAGGATGGGAGATGGAGATGGGAGATGACATGAACCCGAGAAAAATCTAGACCAGACATTCCATTGTTTGACATCATGAACATCGATACACGCAATTTCGATACGATGTCATGCATCAACCATGTCAGCGAGCCTGACCACCTGATCCCGTTAGTCACCTCGTACGACAAGCATGGTCTTCTTTTACAAGATGGGTTTCTGAAGACATATTCTACCCCGGATCTTCACGGGTTGATTTTTACATGTGATTGAGATAATATATGATGTGTACACACGCAATGTACAAGACCGATAGCAGGGCGCTTGCTAAACCAGGATTTACATTGTAGAAGGTAACCGCTGCAAAAGCTTTTAACTGGGTCACTGGATTAAAGTTATTCATTGACCGCCCAGTTTATGTTTTGTGTATGACCGTGTGGCTAAGTATTATTCACCTTCCTAATGTAAAGCGTTGTTGCCTCATGTCTTCTTGGTGTTTATTTTTGTGTGCTATGTCTAGGATGTGCTTGCATTTGTTCTCGGTGCATAAAAGTTTCTTGTGTGAGGTGAAAGAACATTCAACTTATATTTTCACCGTATATCAATCAAATTAAGCACCTCTTACCAAATATCTTTTTCATGGAATCCGTTCTGCGCTCTATATTCAGTCATCTCCCCGAGGCAAGGGCGTTAACTGACTGTAAAAATCCAATGGATGTCGATTTCGTTACGCGATTTTGATTAGAATATGCATAGACTCGTTAGTCCAGCCTAAATGTGACTGCATAATTCCAGCCTAGTTCGGCAAGGGTGGAAACTGGACTTTAATAGTCAGTTAACTCCCTTGCCTCGAGAAGATGTATTCAGTATGTTACTTGTGAGTGTTGTGTTTCTATGAAATATAGCAGGGTGGAAGAACTTGACCATAGAGAAGGCACCGAACTGCTGGAACATACTTCATGTTAAAGGAAATCCCCGGATGCGATCATGTGATCTGATTTATAGAAACATCTGTTCAAAATATATGTGATAACCGACTGCACGATACGTACAACATACAATGTGACTCTCAATTCATGTAAAGTTGCACCTCATTGTAACTTATACTTCTTCTTCTTTTGTGGAGGAATAAAAGCTGATTATTATTCCATTTTAAAAGTTAAAGAGAAGTGATTTGATGCAGAATTTCTAAGTTACCCAACGGAATTGCCAACGCTTTCTGATATAAACAACTGACGAACACCCACCCTGCCATTTCCCATATATTGCTTATTAATGAGAATAAATTATATTTTCTTCATGACAGAAACATTCTGGACATGTACATGGTATCTGTGAAATTATTTATAATGGACAAAAAAATCCCAGCATGTGTATTTTAGTCTCATAACAAAATCGAAATATATAGAATAACTTAACCTATATTTCCCAAATCCGCACATGTAAAAAGCTACACATGCTTCAATTGCTTTCTTGTTAAGTCGAATCTTACAACATGAATAGTTTGTCGGGGACCTGTTCTCACCCATCTTCCCTAGGCAAGAGAGTTAACTGACTTTAAAAATCCAGTTTCCATCCTTGCTATTACGAGTTATGTCCCCTCTAAGCCTCTCCTATGGACCAATCAGATTCCACCTCTCGTATCACTTGCATTTGCTTCAAACAAAATGGCGCTTCCCAGTCAAGACGATCTGATCGATAATCAAGATCTATATTGTGATAAAAAGGGTCTTACATCGCGAATTGCATCAAATCACATGAGCACCTTGACTTAAAACATGAACAGATTTGATAAATATCTTTTGACAACGCGTTGGCGGTGCAAATGTTTTGCAAATCCTGCAATCGACCAAAATCGGCATGGCAGTTTACGAACCGGATTTCGATTTCGTTGTGCGATTTTGATTGGACTATGCATAGACTCGTCAGTCCAGCCAAAATGTAACTTCATTATACCAGCCTAGTTCGGCAAGGGTGGTAACTGGACTTTAATAGTCAGTTAACTCTCTTGCCTCGGGAAGATGATTCTCACCAGGAATTCCGGGGCTGTGAACAACGAATCTCTCTGAGGCACCTGATAGTTTCCTTTGCTTCAAAACTAGATGCTACTCATAACAGCGTGGACAATGGTGGTGGCAGTGATGTGGTCCACTGTCTGTGGTACTGACGTGACTCTGGATGAACGCTGGATGGAGTTTAAGGAAGAGTACAATCGGATGTACACGAGAGAAGCCGACGCAGCCAGGTAGGTTTGTTTGTTTGTTGTCTACCGCCACACTCAGCAATATCCCAGGCATATAACAATAGGTCTTGAGGGACTGTTTACATCATCATTCCGTAATGACGAGTCCCCTCTTCTAGGGCGATATGGACGTCCCTTGGGCACGCCAAAAACCTGTGATTGTTAACAAGAAGCACTCTGTTTTAGCCCGTTGTTCGAATCCTGGTTTACACCGATTATGTGTCTAGGGTTGTCAGCACCATACCCGTGCTCGTGGGTTTCACCGACGTGATAAACGTCTGAGACCTGCATCACTTCGGACTTTCCTCCCACATTAAGCTGGCAAGCCGTGATGTAACTGGAACACCCGAAGCCGCGTAAAACCAAACTCACTCACTCACGCATATCGCTGGCAAAGGTGTTGGTCGCTAACTGACCTATACCAGGTGGGCCATGGAAGCGATGTGCTTTTCGCGACAAATAACCGTTGAACCGAGGTTCGCTCCCCTCTCGTCCGACCTTGGTGCGTTGCGTGTGCTGGGGTCGTTAAGAAGAGAGAGTGAGTGAGTGAGTTTGGTTTTACGCCGCTTTTAGCAATATTCCAGCAATATCACGGTGGGGGACACCAGAAATGGGCTTCATGCATTGTACCCATGTCGGGATTCGAACCCGGGTCTTCGGCGTGACGAGCGAACGCTTCAACCGCTAGGCCCCCGTTAAGAACAATGACCCACAGAAACAATATAATGAACATAACGCACCCTTGTGGTGCCCTGAACAAATATATATATCTATATTTGATTTATTGTTTTTATCAAAATTCATGTAATTTCTTTAACATGAGGACCGTTAACACGATCTAACTCAAGGTTGTTCATGCTATTTTAAGGTCAATATAAATTTCACGCCGTTCTGTCATGTCAAGGCCGACTGTCACATGTCCGCAGATAATAAGACGCTGGTTCGGAATAACATGTTTTCCGACAAAATATGAAATCATTCATTCAGTGTCAACTTAAAAGTTGTCAACTTGAAAATCTACATATATCCTCATATATTTCATTTATATAGAGATATATACTTGATTCTAATGATGGCGTACAAACTAGATCTACTGCTGGAGGTAAAGGTGGAGAGAAGCAACTTACATTATCCTCAAAGGCAAGTGAAAAAACTTTACAAACTGTGTTGGATGAACTGAGAGAAGTGTCATGTAAAATAGACAAAATTCAGCGTTCTAATGATAATATGAATCTGAAACTTCAGACTGTTGAGAGTACACTGAAGGTGGTTTTAGAGCAGATTTCTGAGACTAATAACCGATGTCAAGCCCTAGAAGAGGAAAATTTTCGTTTGAAAGATCAGATGAAAGCAATGGATGACAAACTTGATTACCTTGAGAATATGAGCAGGCGTAACAATCTGATATTTCACGGTGTACCGAGAGGTAATGAAACAGAGTCATGGACTGATTGTGAACTGATTGTAAAAGATGTCCTCAGGAACGACCTGCAGTTATTAGATGATGTGAACATTCAAAGGACACATCGCATTATGAAGGGGAAGGCTATTATTGTTAAGCTAGCAGACGACAAGGACAAACACGCTATTCTGAGGGCATCTAAAGCTTTGAAGGACACTGGTATGTTTATTACTGAGGACTTCTCCCCATTGGTGCGACAGAAGAGAAAGAAACTTCTCCCGAAGATGTTTCAGGCGCGTGAATCAGATTTGAAGGCATTTTTGCGGTATGATAAGCTGTATACTGAGGATAATATTTATTCCTATGACCTGGGTTTAGACTGTGTCACAACTGTCAAATCAGGTCACAAGCCAGGACTTTCACGTGCAGTGAGTGCGTCTGATGATGTCATCAGCTCGCCCGGCCTAAGCTAGGAAGATGGCCCGGTCAACCAGTTGCCGCC